ATGGAGTTTAATGTACTCTCTATTTAACTATATCTTTGATGAAAATGGAATAATTAAAAAAGAATTTTTAGATCCATCACAACGAAAAAGATTATCAAGAGGGTATGTCATTATAATATTATATTATGTTATATTATATTATATTATATTATATTATATTATATTATATTATATTATATTATATTATATTATATTATATTATATTATATTATATTATAAACCATTTTTTATTAATATATTAACTTTATTAATATTTATTTTAGATTATCGCGTAGATTTATGACAATTGGTTTTTTAGGTTTATTTACAAGTCCATTTATTTTCTTCTTTTTATTAATCAACTTTTTCTTTGAATATGCTGAAGAATTAAAGAATAGACCTGGTTCATTATTTAGCAGAGAATGGTCTCCTTTAGCAAGATGGCAATTCCGTGAACTTAACGAACTCCCACATTATTTCCAAAATAGATTAAGTCTCAGCTATACACACGCAAATCATTATGTCGAAAGTTTCCCATCACAATTTCTTTCAATTGTTGCAAAGTTTATCAGTTTTATTTTTGGTTCATTTTTAGCAGTATTCATCGTTTTGGGTATTTTAAATGACCACTTTATAATGAATTTCCAGATTTTCGATAGAACCCCAATTTGGTACATTGGTATTTTTGGTACTGTAGTTGCAATTACTCGTTCACTAATCACTGATGAAAACCATGCATATCAACCAGCCAAACACATGGCCAGAACCGTTCAAAATACCCACTATCTCCCACTATCTTGGGTTGGTAAAACTCATACTCTCCAAGTTCGTGACGAGTTTTTATCACTCTTTGAATATAGAATTGTAGATTTTGTTAGAGATATTTTCTCTGTAATTTTTACACCATTCATTTTAATATTCTCTTTACCAAAATCATCACAAGCTATAATCAATTTCTTTGGTGATAATACTGTTAATCTAGATGGTGTCGGTCCAATTTGCCAACTCGGTGATTTTACCAATGTAAAGAAACTTGGTGATAATTCGTTTGGATCAATTAGTCAAGCAAATAGAGTCAGTTCAACTAATAATGGTAAATTAGAAAAATCAGTTATCAATTTTAAATGTCTAAACCCAGAATGGAATACAGATAATAATGAATTAATTCAACAATTCAATCAATATGCAAAAGATCAACACAATAATAGCGCTAATAACAATAATAATAATAATAATAATAATAATAATAATAATAACAATAACAATAATTTTGCACCACACACCTCTTTGGATGATTTCCAGCATATTTCAGATAGTCATTATATTCCACCAGAAATTATTGATGCCGTTTTAGGTACCCATCACCAACCATCCCCACAACTAAACTCTTTCCATAGCGGTCCAAAATTAAAAGGTAGACTCGATCAAAATATTATTAATGCTGTAAATGACGTATGTATTCATAATTTATAAAAATATTTTAAATTTTAAATTAATAAATTTACTAATTTTTTTCCCATTCTTTTATAAAGCTCCATCAATCATTTTATGAATCACAATTTAAACATAAAAATGACAATTTTGTAAACTCAATTTAAAAAAAAATAAAAAAATAATAATAAATTTTATATTTAAATTTATATTTATATTTATATATTTATAACTTATACATATCAACATATTTGTTTTTGCAATGAATAAATATTTTTTTTTTTTCAAATAAAGAATTTAATTTTCCAAATCAAAATTTCGATTTAAAACAAAATTAAAAACAATTATTTTTTTTTTTTGTTTTTTTTTATTTACTATTATTTAAAATTTAAATAGACATATATATATATATATTTTTTTGTTTTGTTTTATTTATTTATTTTTTTTTTTTTTTTTGTTTTTTTTTTTTTCTTTTTTTTTTTTTTTTTTGTATTTGCATATTTATAAGATTTAATAAACTACTACAAAATAATTATCAATTATTTTTTTAGTTTTAAAAAAATAAAACAAGTTTACATTTGGAATATTTATCTAATTATAATGATACTTCATTATATTAATATATCCATATATATATAAAACTTTTTTTTTAAAAAAATTTAATGCATATATTCACACACAAACACTAAACACTTACCCCCATTTCACACACAAAAAAATTTCTTAAATAGTAAATACTTTTATATCCAAAAAAAAAAAAAAAATTAGGGGGGGGGTTAAAATTACATATAAAAACATAAACTCAAAAATTAAATATACATAAAAAGAAATACATAATATATTTTTGTACCCAATTCTTTTTTTAATTTTTTTAATGAGTATTTTTTAAAATTTTTTTACATAATAAATTTATTACATAGGCGAGGTCACACTAATTAGCATTTTTTTCAAAAGCTGTTAACGGCTAAGCTCACAAAAAATTTAAAAAAATAAAAAAAAATAAAAAAAAAATTTTTAAATTTATTTTTTTTAAATTTTTTTTAAATTTTTTTTTAAAATTTTTTTTTTATTTTTTTTATTTATTTTCTTTTTTATAATATATTTAAAAAAATAATAATAAATAATAAATAAAAAAAATATAAAAAAATATAAATAAAATATAAAATAAATAAATAAATATTCAAAACATCAGTAAAAATCAAGTTATATCGATTAATACCAAAGTTGTCTAAGGTGAACATCATTTTAGCCTAGAAACTAGCATTTTTTTATACTTTTTTTCCTGCAAACTAATAAATTATAAAGGTAATTAATTTTTCGGTATTTAAATATATAAAATGTTCACTATATTTTTAGTGATTTTTATATATTTTTTTTGGATTTATTTCAATTAAAAATAAATAAATATACAAAATTAAAATTAAAATAAATAAAAATAAAATATAATAAAATAAAATAATATTTTTTTTTTTTTTTTTTTTAATAAAATAATAATTATAAAAAAATAATTATAAAAAAATAATAAATAAATAAATAAAAATAATAAACCAAAAAATCATTGTGTAATAATAGTTTATTTCGTTTTCATTATATAAGTATTGATAATGAACATAACTATTAAATCAAGATAAACAAAAATAGTTTTTTTGTCGTTGTATTTTAATATTTAAAAAAAAAAAAAAATAAAAAATAAATATTTTTAATATAAAATATTTTTTTATTTTTTTTTTTTTATTTATTTTTTTTCGATTTTTATTTTTTTTAATTATATGATTTTAAAATTTTTTTTATTTTAGAAATATATAAAAAAATTTAAAAAAATTAATTAAAATTAATGAAATTTCATGTAATAAACAAAAACAAATAAAAATAAAAAAAATAAATACAAATAAACAAATTTGCTAATTTTTTTTTTTTCTTTAAATGGCAATAGTGAAAAAAAATAAAAAAATAAAAAAAAATGACAACACCAACATTACCAAATCTTTCACAAATATCAAATCTTCAAGGAATGCAACCACAGCAACAAATGAATCAATATGGTATGCCAAATTTACCACCACCATCGATGATTAATCAAATGAACCCACAAGGTTTAGGCATTGGTTTACAATCACACGGTATGGGCATGGGATCTCAAATGCATCACATTCAAAATATATCAGCTGGTGGTGGTATGAACCCAATGAGTGGTTTAATGGGTCTTTCTGGATTAACACCAATTGGTATGGGTCCAATGGGAACAACAACTACCACTTCATCATCTTCAACTACATCAACTTCAAGTTCAACAGGACTTTCAAATGGCACAATGCCAACATCAACTTCACCAATTCAACAGCAAGTGCAACAAATTCCACAACAACAACCTCAAATGATGGGTAATCCTTCTAATATGGGTGGTTCTGTTGCCGCATCTTCAGTTAATGCTTCAGCCAATGCTTCAGCAGCCGATAAAAGATTAAGAGGAAGACCAAGAAAGAACCCTCCAACCGAACCAAAAGATACATCTGGACCAAAGAGAAAGAGAGGAAGACCACCAAAGCTTGACCAAGATGGTAATCCACAACCAAAGGTTGTCCCTGTCCCAGGTTCAAGTAATAAAAAGAGAGGAAGACCAAAGAAACCAAAGGAAGAAGGAGATAATGATGCCAATAATACATCATTTTCCGATAGTAATAACGATACTCCAAAAAAGAGAGGTAGACCACCAAAGCCAAAGGGTGAGGGTAGTCCATCATCCACTCCAACACAAAATAATAATAATAATAATAATAGAAGCGGTATACAAAATCTTCAAAGTGTAGCTGATCAACAACAACCACAACAACAACAACAACAACAACAACAACATAATAATACTGATGGCAGTAACAACGTCAACAAAGGCTTTAATGATAATGGTAGCATGGATTCATTTACCCCGAACTTCTCTTTCTTCCATTAGGACATTTTCAGTATTTTTCTTTTAAAAAATTATTTATAAATTATTAAATTTATTATTTAGTAAAAAAACACAAAAAAAATCAATAATTTTCAACATCCAAACAATCGCAACTATAAATAACAAAAAAAAAACCAAACAAAAAACCAAATATCATCAATCAAATCCAATCTTATTATATTGTATTATTTTTTTCAAAAACAAAAGATTGGTTATCGCATCATTCACCTTACGTTTATCTTTTTTTTTTTAAAAAAAAAAAAAAAAATTAAAAAAAAAAAAAAAAATAAAAAATAAATAAATTTAAAAATATAATTAAATTAACTTTAAACCTTTAGTTTTATTAATTAGTTATTAAATATCTTTAATTGAACCTTTAAATATTAAAATTTTATTTTTTTATTTATAATTTTGAATTTGATTTATAAAAATTAATTAAACCATTTGTGGAGGAATCATGGGATGAAATTGGAGAGTTGTTTGAGAGTTCTGGAAGAATTGATTTGGCTAATTGTTTACCAAGTTCTACACCCCATTGATCAAAACTATTAATATTCCAAATGATACCTTGAACAAAGATTTTGTGTTCGTAGAGGGCAATTAAGGAGCCAAGGCTGTGTGGAGTTAATTTGTGCATCATAATGGAGTTTGTTGGACGATTACCATCGAAAATTTTATGTGGTAATATTTCTTTAATTCTTTCTTCAGATAAACCTTCTTTCTTGAGTTCAGCAGCAACTTCATCGTGATTCTTGCCTTTCATGAGTGCCTCAGTTTGAGCAAAGAAATTACTTAAAAGAATTTGATGGTGTTTACCTAATGGGTTGTGTGATTCAACTGATGCAATGAAATCACATGGAATAATCTTTTGACCTTGATGAATGAGTTGATAGAAAGCATGTTGACCATTTGTACCAGGTTCACCCCAAATAATTGGTCCAGTTGAATGTGAAACTCTTTGGCCATTTCTTTGAACACTTTTACCATTACTTTCCATATCACCTTGTTGGAAGTAGGCTGGGAAACGTGAGAGATATTGGTCGTATGGAAGAATAGCATGGGTTTGACAATCAAAAAAGTTGTTATACCAAATACCAAGGAGGGCAAGAATGACTGGTAAATTCTTTTCTAATGGAGTGTTAAGGAAATGTTTGTCCATATGATAGGCACCTTCAAGGAGGTTTTCAAAATTATCCATACCAATATAGAGAGCAACTGAAAGACCAATAGCAGACCAAACAGAGTATCTTCCACCGACCCAATCCCAAAATTCGAACATATTTTCTTTGAGAATACCAAACTTGGTAACCTCAGTTTCATTAGTTGAAAGTGCAACAAAGTGTTGACCAATGGCATGTTTTTGATCAGTACCTTGTGGTAATTGGTCGATGAACCATTGACGAGCAGATTGAGCATTTGTAATAGTTTCTTGAGTGGTAAAAGTCTTTGAGGCAACGATGAAAAGAGTAGTTTCGGCATTGAGACATTTAACAGTTTCAGCTAAATGAGTACCATCGATATTTGAAACAAAATGAGCTCTCATCTCTTTATCATTGGCATAGCTTTTGAGGGCTTGAGTGACCATAACTGGACCTAAATCAGAACCACCAATACCTATATTTACAACATCAGTAATCTTTTTGCCATTAAAACCTTTCCATTGGCCTGATCTGACACGTTCGGTGAATGAACGCATTTTTTCTAAAACAGCTCTAACACTTGGGATAACATTTTCACCATCTACCTTAATTACAGCATTTGGGTCACGATTTCTAAGTGCAGTGTGAAGAACAGCTCTATCTTCGGTGAAGTTAATTTTGGCGCCTTCAAACATTTTATTACGCATATCTTCGACTTTTGATGCTCTTGCTAATTCAAATAAAAGTTCTAAGGTTTCGTGATTGATTCTATTTTTTGAATAGTCTAAAAGAAATACACCAACTTGATCACTGATTTTACTTTCTACTGAAAATTCTTTAAATCTATTGGCACCATTACCTGATTCGAATTCTCTTCTCATATTAATATTTTTACCAGTTTTTTCATAATGTTCTTTTAATTTATTAAATTGTTCCATTTTATTATTATTATTTTTATTATTATTATTATATATTTTTATTTATCTTTTGATTATCTATTTTGTATTTTAATTTGAATATTGTATTTTTTATGTATTATATATTATGTATTATGTATATTGATTCTATATTCTTATTATGTACAGTATATTATAGTGGAGATAATAATAAATATATAATGGTTGTTATATAGGTGAAAAATAAATAAAAAAATTAACCAAAAAAATTTAATTATTTATAAAAAAAAAAAATGAAATTAAAAAAATATTAAAAATTAAAAAAAAATAAAAAAAAATAAAAAAATTAATTTAATTTTGGGTGATCCGAATTTACCAAATTAATGTTATAGTTTTTATTATAAATGATTTTCAAAATTCATTTATTTATTTAACTTCATTGAATTAAATTTTAATTTTTCATTTTTTTTTTTTTTTATAAAAAAATTTATTTTAATTTTTTATTTTTTTTTTTTTTCGAAAAAATTTATTTGATAAAAAAAGAGAATCTGGAATAGGCAATCTAATTCTTTAAAATTTTGTGGAAGGAAATAAAATTCTTTCGTTCCTCTTGAATAAAAATTTTTTGCCAAAAAAAAAAATCAAACATTTGATGTACTTTTAAACACATTTAATTCTCAAAAAAATTTTAAATTCCAAATTGTTTAATCTACCTTGGTATTCTCTAATATTTTTTTATTATATAAAAAAACTATGATTAAATTTTTTTTAAAAAAGATCATATATTTATATTTTAATTAATAAAAAAAAAAGTATTTAAAGGTTTGCAAATTTTTTTTTTTTCAATTACAAAATAAAAACATAATTACTAAATAATTTTGTATTTATAAAATTAAATATTTATCCGAATAATATTAATAAAATGTCATTATTAAGTATGATCAAAACTATTTTTTATATATTATTTACCCAGATTACTAATGTTATTATTAACTATATATCAAATCCAAATGTATTTTTTATAAAACCCTGTGTACTATAAAAACCATCCTATTTATTTCTCTTGTATTATAAATTAAAAAATAAAAAATGGTTTTTAAAAAACTAAAAAAAAAAATTTATAAAAAAGAATTTATCTTTATTTTAATTTAATGGGTTTATTTAATTAAAAAAGTTTAAATTAAATAAAAATAAAATAAAGGCAGCATTTATTAAAAAAATCTGGGTATTGACCCACAACTATATAATTGGACATAACAGATTTACTGAAATCTAAAACATGTGTCAAGTAAGTTGTATAAGTTTATGGAGGCTGCCTGATAGGAACCACTAAATTTTTCCTTTATCTAAAACCATTCGACGATACCATAGTTGCTTGGCCAGAACAATGTTTGATATTGATTCATCAAATGGTAGATTAGAATGAAAAAATTAATTCTATTGTTTCTATTTTATTTTTATTATCTATAATTATCTATGTGATTACTAAGATTTATACTATTAAAATATTCTAATAATTTTATTATTGTCTAAAATAATAAATAAAAAATGGTTGTTGTGATGGTGGTTGTTGTTGGTTGTTGTGGTGTTGGTTGCTGTTTTTATGGTGGTTGCTGTTTGATGTTGGTGTTTATGTTGGTCTCTATTATAAAAATCTAAAAAATAGTTAGACATCATTACTACAAATATAATATTTAAATAATGAATACTATCTTATACCTACTTTTTTTCCTTTTGTAAATATAATAGATTAGATCCAAACTAGGTATTCCCTTTTTTGTACATTCTTTTAAATTATTAATCTGTAGCTATCATAAAAGTAGTGATCATCCATTTATTTTTTAAACACATCACCCTAATAAAAAAAATGATTTAATTAAAAAAATATTAAAAAAAATTAGAAAAAATTAAATTATAACCCCACCACACACTTTTTTATTATTATTATAAAAAGTGGATAATATGTTTGGGAAATAAATTAATAAATTTTTATTTTTTTTAATTAATTAAAAATGAAAATTACCAATTTTAGAACCCATTGCAATCTGAATTTTTCAAAAAAAAAATGATGATGCTATCTGTTCAATTTAAACAAAAAAAATTTTAATATTATTTTTCTTTTTTTTTTTTAATTAAAAATTAATAATCATACGAAAAAAATTTGATTAATTTTTATTTTTTATTTTATTTTTTAAGAAAATTTTTATTTTTATTATTATATTTACAAAAAAAATTATTATTATTATTAATTAAAATAATAAATAATGATTTATATTAATTGCTATATTAAAATAATTAATATATTTAATTAATTGATATTATTATTTTTTAATCAACATAACCATAACCACCATAAGGGTGTGATGAATCTGAATTATTTGAATCATTTGATTTGTCAATTGAAATTTGAAGATCAATTGGTCCAAGTATTTCTTCGATCGAGTTTGGTGAAAGAGGATTACGGGGTTGTTCCAAAACTCTTAAAATATAAGAGAATGTAGGTCTTTTATTGGGATCACTGTGCCAACAACGTCTGATTAATTCACACCAGTTTGAATCTGCAGATGGGGGTATTTTGGGTGTGTAGCCATTTAAAACCATATTCTTAAAGTCTGTTAAACGATAGATTGAATCTTTTTTTTCTAAATTGGTGTGTGGTTCGACATAGGAGAATAGCTCCCACAAGAGTAGGCCATATGCATAAATATCGGATTGGGTTGTGCAAATTGAATCTTGACGCCAAATTTCGGGTGCCAAGTAGGGATAAAAACCACCACCCATTTTATAGTTTAGAGATTCTTCAAAGTTGGCGCTTAGACCGAGGTCAGATACTAGACAGGTAATATCGTCAACAGTGTAACGCATAGTTGGAACAAGTTTCTTTTTGATATCCAATAAAATATTATTTGATGTTAAATCTCTGTGAAGAATTGGTGGGTCGTATGTATGCATATAGTTCATTGCTTTGGCGATATCCAATGCAAACTTCATTCTTAATTGAGGACAACTATCTAAAATGGATGAATAGCTCTGTAAAAATTGCTTTAGTGAGCCACCTACCATCCAGGGTGTTAAAATAATGTGGTTGAAGGAGGCAGAGTCGCTGTAGGGCGAAATACATGCACCTTCCATTCTAATGATATTTTTATGATCCAATTTCGAAAGATTGTTGACCTCTTGTAAGAATGTATCTTTAATTGAGTTTACTGACGAGTTTGATTTCTTTATAAATTTAATAGCAACCTCTTTTTGTCCATAGAAGCCTTTTTTTACAATACCGAAATTACCACGGCCAATAGTACTACCCTTGTTTTGGTCATACTTTAAATCTTTATAGTTGATTAACCATTTTGGTGCTTCAGGTGGTGGTTCATCTTTAATAAAAGTTAGGTTTTCATAGCTTGCCAAATCCTCTATTAGAATCCCATACTTTTTTGATTTCTCTGTTGCAATTTCTCTTATAAAACTGTGTTCTAATAAACTTCTGGCATTGTATCTTAATTTTACATCTTTTGCTAAACAATGCTCAAGAAAATCTTTACATTCATTCGAGAGATTTTGAGGTATTATTACTTTGTTTTTCTTTCTTGATTTCATCAAGTCACCACCAGCCATCTCGATTATAGCACAACCTAATGACCATATATCTGCTTTTGGACCAATCTTTGATTTAAAATTAGTTGCTTCGGGTGCCATATAAACCAATGTACCAACGACTTCAAATTGATTATCTTTTTGTTGTATACTCTTTGATAACCCAAAATCTATAAGTTTTAAATTCTTATTTTTTGCATCCACAATTATATTTTCACATTTGATATCTCTGTGGACTATACCTATTTTATGTAGCCCATATAGTGTCAAGGTTAGATCTGCAATATATTCCCTAAGTTGCTTTTCCGAGATTGGACCACCACCTCCTTTAATATATTCTTTTAGTGAATACCCTTCTATATATTCTAAATATAAATAAATGTGATCACAATCTTCACCACTACCATAAAATTTTATAATATTTGGATGTTTAATTTCATTTAATATATTGATTTCATTTATATTCTATATTTTACATAAAGTTAAAAAAAAAAAAAAAATTAATATGCTGTTTTTTTTTTTAAATCCCGCCACATGGGATATTTTTTTTTTTTTTTTGTTTTTTTTTATTTATTATATCAAAAATTTATATATAATTACTTACAAAATGTTTTTTTTTGATCTTTTTTACAACAAATGTATCCTCTTTAATATGATCTAGTTTATTTTTTTTGGATTTTTTCGATAGATAAACTTTTGATAGTTTACCTTTACCTAGAACTTTGATAAAATCAAAGTCATCTTTATTATGTTTTAGAAAGTTATAATTATACATTGTTTTTAATTATAATAGAAAAAAAATAAATAATTTATTATCATAGGAAATAGAAAATATTTTATATCTAATAAAAAATATTATTTTATTATTATTATTACTATTGTTATTATTTTATTATTTTATAGCTAATTTACAAGAAAAAAAAAAAAATATTGTTTGTGTTTAATTGGAGGTGTTTGTATGTTTTCTATTAATTTTATTTAAATTTTGCAATTGTAAAATTGGATAAAAAAACAAAAAAATAAAAAATAAAAAAATAAAATAATAAAATTTTTTAAAAATTAAAAAAAAAATAAAAAAAAAAAAAAAATTAATATTTTTTAAAAACACCGCTGATTGATTTTTCCTTTCTTTTTGGGTAAACCCTCCACTCACACTTTTATTGGGGGTATGTATATATTGATTATAAAAATGTGCACATAATTATTACCCTAAATTATTGTATAGAAAAAAAAAAAAAAAACTTAAAAAATAGTTTTTTTAAAAAAATATATAATAAGTAATTAAATTTTATTTATTTTAAAATAATAAAAAATAAATTATTTTTTATTTTTTTTTATTTTCATTTTTTTTTTTTTTAATTTTAAATTGTTGACAGTTTAGTTTAATTAATTTAATTAAAATTATTTATTCATGGTTGAATATAAATTGATTTTTTAAGTTACCATCTGTTAATAGTTTTTCATTTTGTTGGAATTTAATATTAACACTATCTTTGGATGTGAGTGGGATGTATGGGTTTTCACCAAAATGTACTTTTAATGGTGGGTTGTCCAACATGGAATTTTGAATTATGAATTTTGCAAAATTGACAGGTGACTCTTTGTTATGACGACCAAATGTTTTTTTCATTTTATTAAATGTAGATTCTAATTTGTATTCGCCAATGGGGTTTGATGTGGTAGGATTTTTAAAATTGGTATCTAAATATCCCAACATAATGCAAATTACTCTAATGTTGAATGGTTTTAGTTCCTCATGTAAAGAGTAGGTCATGGCAGATAGAGCGGCTTTACCAGCACAATAGCTTGAAAATAATGGTACACTAGCTTCACCAAATACCGAGCTAATATTAATTATTAAACCATTTTTTCTGAGTCTAAAGTGTGGTAAAACTGCTCTAATTACGTTACATGGACCGAAATACAAAACATCCATTAGCATTCTTTGTTCTTTATCAGTTATTTCCTCGACATTACCCATTATTGATTGACCAGCATTGTTTACAACTACGTCAATTTCACCAAATTTATCAATAACTCTTTTAATTGATTTTTTTACCGATTCTTCATTGGTTATATCTACCTCCAGTCCTAAAAAGTTATTATTACTAACAAATGGTAATTGGTTAATACGATTTAAGCTTCTCGAAGTACCACATACATGATACCCTTTTTCCAATAGTGTAGAGCACAATGCAAAACCTGCGCCACTTGTTACACCAGTAATATACCAAACTTTATTTGTATTTGTCATTTTTAATTAGATATAAATTGTTTTAAGAAAATAATTTTTTTTTTTTTTTAAAAACTAAAATCTATTTAATTTAATTTTAAAATTTTATTTTTTTAGATTTTTCTAAATTCTAAAATAGAAAAAATTTTTTTTTTTTTTTTTTTTTTTTTTTTTTTTTTTAATTTCACAACATTGGTTTTTTAAATTAAAATAAAATAAAATTAAATCAAAAAAAAAAAAAATTTCTTTTAAGATTTTAAAAGAAAAATTATTATTTGAAATAAAACTATTTATTTAATGATAGAAACAAAAATAATTTTAAATAATAAAAAAAAAAAAAAAAAAAAAGCTATAAATATTTTATTTAATTAGTAACTCGTCGTCATAGTTATCGTCTTCACAACATGGGTCATCAAAATCGCTTGGGGTTGAACGATTCCAAGCAGATGGGTTACATTTTGAAACACACATATTAATTGAGGCTGAGGTTGAGTTCGAGGTTGATGCGGGTGTATTGGTGGTTGTGGTTGTGGTAGTGGTTGTGGTTGTGGTATATGGAGTTAAACTGTTATTATTGTGGTTATTATTATTAGGATGTGAGGTTTTTGTTTTTTTAATTTTTTCTTCAATTTCTTCAATATCGTCAAGAGTAAGCTCTGATCTTTCTTTTCTACGGCCAGAGAAATTTGAAACAATTACTTTTTTCTTTTTTGATACTTTAGCTTGGTAGTCTTTTAATAAGGGAGTTGATTTATTTAATTGTTTCCAACGTCTCCAACACTGATTATCAGTACGATTACCCATTAGTTTTGAAATTTCGGACCATTTACCAAGACCAACTTCATTTGTAAAGTTCTTTAAACGTTCATCCTTCATAATTAATAAAAAAATAATATAATTAGTATGAATCTAATATGAGTTTTAAAAATAATAACTATTATACATACCTCTGCAGGGGTCCATCTATTTTTATCTAGCTGTGGATCTAATACATTACAATAACGTTCACGGCATTGAACATCGGTTCTACCTGGTACATGGTTTTTAATTAAAATCCAACTTCCTTTTCCATATGCCTCAACTGCTTTGACGAGTAATTTATCCTCATCAGGTGACCAACGACCTCTTCTAATACCAGGATCTAATGTTTTTTGCCAACGATGAAGACATTGATGACCTGTTCTACCTTCGATATATTCAGCGACCTCTTGCCAATCAACTTTATCACCTTGGCTGTGTAATTGAACTGCTTTGGTTAATAAGGTATCCTCTTCGATAGTCCACTCTTTTTTCATCATTTTGCTATTAAGACTTCTTTGATATCTTTGCATACATGATAGGGGTGTTCTTTCTGTACCCAGTTCTTGAGCAATTTGAATCCAATCGGTACCATTATTTCTTTCTGCTAAAAATAAAAGCTTTTTATCCTCCTCTTTTGTAAATGGTTTCTTATTAATCTTTGGATTGTCGATGTTCTTCCATCTTAGGTAGGCCTCCAATGGTGAACGAGTTAAGCTCTCTAAACAAATTTGGCCAAACACATCCATACTAATATTTGCATCCTCTTGGGTGTCATTATTGTCGATTTCTTTTAAGCTTTTTTCATACTCTGCTTTTGATAGCTTGGACTCGGATAATCTAAATAGTTTCTTTTGTAAATTTTTTTCTCTAACACCCTTGGCCAAAAGATTAATTTCTTTTTTGGTCCATTTTCTAGTTTTAAAGTACAGTGGCATATTATTTTTTGTTTCTCTAATGGTTTCAGAATCTGGGTTATCAGCAGGATAATTAGTTTGAACTACATCATCTACAGTTACTTCGAATGAAAAATATGGCACACCAGCCTTTTTTTCCTGATTATAGATATTGCTTGATGTTGGTTTTTGTTTTAATGAGTCTGGAGTTTTGTTTTTATATTCTTTGGCTAATCTTATTAATTTTTTAGTTTTGATTTGTTGTTCTTCAATTTTTTTTAAATATGTTTCTATAAATTGCTGATATTCTCTATTAATACTTAATAGTTTATCAAAATCTAAATTGTGGTCTAATAAATTGGTTCTAATTGATGGTTTTATATTATACAAATTTTCTAATATTGATATTTCATTTGATTCTGATTCTGCTATAGGAATGGTGGTGGAAACTGCTCCAATATGACCTTCTTGTTGATTAATAACTTCTTCATCCAAAACCAATTCTTCATCATAATGGTCATCTGGATATAAAGCTAATGGGTCATCGAGATCATCATTTTCTCCTACTAAATGATTTTCTTTTAAGACTTTTGAAAGTAATTCTTTAACTCTTTTAGGTGGTTCTATAATATATGGTTTATCTAAATTTGGCTTTTCGATTTGTTCTCTTCTATTTTTTTCAAATTTCTCCATAAAATCTGTAATCTCTTTTGGTAATACTAAACCTTTTAATCTGCCATGTTTCGATACAAAATCCTCACTACTAATATTATTATTATTATTAATACTATTATTATTATTTTTTATATTTATATTATTTACATTATTATTATTTTTATTATTATTATTATTATTATTATTATTTATATTAATTTCATCTTCTTCTTTGCTATATACATTTTTTTGACTACTTATAAATTTATTAAAACTTTCCAATGATTTTAAATCTTCAAAGTCATTATTATCTAATAATTATGAATAAAATTAAATAATTTTAAATATTAGTATTTGTTTATTACATAAAATATAAAAAATAATGACAAAGATATTTTTTATTTTAATAAAAATCTTTTTATTTTTTATATTTTTTTCATTATTATCACTTACCATTATTTGTTTCATTATTCATTGCGAACTTGTATTAAATTGCCAATGCGTAATGAGAGATGGGTGGGTGTTATGGGAGAACGAAAATAAGAAATAATTTTAAAAATTTTGAAAAATAGTTTAAATTTTTAAAAAAAAAATAATTATTATAAAAATTAAAAAAAATAAAATAATTTTTTTTTTTTTTTTTTTTTTTTTTTTGTTAAAATTAAATTAAAATTAAAAAGATATATATATGAAGTTTTGTAAATACACACCATTATTTATCCAATAATAAATTAATATTAAATTTTATATTTACATAATAGTAAAACAATAGTAATAAAATCACATACATAGGTCCAAAATTTTTATTCCCATTGCAGTTTAAAAATTAATAAATAAATAAAACAAACAAATAAATAAATAAATAAATAAATAAAAAATATTAATAAAATGGCAAGAAGTAAACCATTCAGTGGTAAACAGAAAAAAGATCAACTAAAAGAAAAAAAAGAAAGAAAAAGAATCGAAAATGCAATACTTGATAATAATTTAGATATTTCAATACAAGAAAAAAGAAAAATGGCAAGAGAAATATTAAAAGGAAATATAAATAATTCTGTAAATAATAATGACCATATTTTATCAAGTAAAATAATTTTAACGAAAAATAAAAACGATGAAAACAATGAAGATTATGAAAACTCAGATGATACCGAATCTGAGGAAGAAGTCGAGAAAGCTTTAAACCACATCAAAGAAATCAACACACAAATGGCAAAGTTTGATAATAATAATAAAAATAATAATAACAATAATAATAATAGAGACAATGGAAGAAGAATGAATAAACTTGTAACCATCTTTGAAAAAGAATCAAAGGAGGAAATAGAATTAAGAAAACAGAATAGTAAAAAACCATTAGATACAACATTTAGAGAAAAGGTAAATGGTTATTAAAAATACTATATTAATTTTTTTGCAGTAGATACTAATATATTTTTTTTTAGCCATGGTTAATTATGAATGAATATGATAAAGAGAATCAAATTGATAATAATAACTTTATTGATATTCCAAAAAGACCAAAATGGAGCTATAGCATGTCAGCAGATAGATTGAAACAGGAAGAAAGATCAATGTTTTCAAATTGGCTTAGCGATATTGTAAAGAACTATGACAAGAAAAGACTAAATTACTTTGAAAACAATTTAGAGGTATGGAGACAACTCTGGAGAGTATCCGAAAGGTCCGATGTAATTTTGTTAATCACCGATGCTAGATACCCATTGTTCCATTTCCCACCATCTCTTTACAACTATATTCATGAAGAACTAAAAAAACCAATGATATTAGTATTAAACAAAACAGATTTGGTAAATAAAAGAATTATAGAGGCATGGATCAATTACTTTACAAAGAACTATCCATCACTCAAGGTAATCTGCTTTAGTTCATTTGCATCTTTTGAAGACGAGTCTGAAATTGACTTTGAAGATGCCACCAAAAAGAGAAAAATGAAAAAAGGAAGAAAAAGATACGATTTATCTAAAGGTAAACAAAATCTAATCGAAGCTATCAAATCGTTATCAACACTTGGTAATAAAGCAAATTTAATAACCGGCGAAGATTTAGAAGAAAAAACAAAAGAGAAAGAAAATAATGTAAGTGAAGACGATTTCAGCGAAGAAGAGGATGACACCGAAGATGACACCCAAGATGATGAAAATAGTTATGAAGATGATTATGACAGTTACTATAGCGATTATTGTAATAATGAAAAGAAACAACAACACCCTCAAGATAAACAACAGTTAGATTTTGTTACAATTGGTATGGTTGGCCACCCAAATGTTGGTAAATCAAGTTTAATTAATGGTTTGATGGGTAAAAAAGTAGTTAGTACTAGCCGAACACCAGGTCACACCAAACACTTTCAAACCATTGTCTTTTCAAAGAATATTCAATTATTAGATTGCCCAGGTTTAGTTTTTCCAGCATTAGATAGACCAAAACAATTACAAATTCTTTGTGGTCTTTTTCCAATAGCACAAGTTCGTGAACCTTTCTCTGCAATTCAATATTTAGCTGAACGTGTTCCTGTAGAAAAGATTTATCGTTTAAAAAACCCAAATGAAGAAGACAATGAGCCATGGAGTGCATATTCAATTTGTGAAGCATTTGCATTAAAAAGAGGCTATTTAGTTGCTAAATCGGGTAGACCAGATCCACATCGTGCAGGTTTAGAGTTATTAAAAGATTGTGTCGATGGAAATATAGTCATCTCATGGCCTCCTCCTGGATTCACCAAAGACGAATATATACAATTGCTTTCAAATCATAGCAACGATGGCGACAATAGCAACGAAGCCAACTATCATAATAAAGATGATTCATCCAATGGCCCACCAGCAACAAAAGCATTTTTAAAATACAATAAAAAATTAAAGAAAAAGAATATGTTAAATAAAATCGCATACAGTGATGAAAGTGAAGATGAAGAAATTGATAGTGATCCATCAATCGAAGAACAATTTGTCAAATCCCCAAAACAAACTGCATTCATGGCTTTAGATTCAATTAGTACCGATGAAAATGAAGATACTAGTGACTTGGATGAAAGTGATGATTATAGCGAAAAAGAAAAAAACAATAAAAAAACCACAACCAAAAAAACCACAACCACAAATACCACAACCACCTCAAAATCAACATCAGCACCAAAAACAAATAAAAAAAAGAAAAAAGGAAATATAAAACATGAATCTGAATATCAAGAAAGATTAAAAGAAAAACAAAATAAAGGTGGTAATAGAAGGCAATTAATTTAGAAATTACTAAATTAAGATAAAATTTGTATTTTTTTTATTTTTTTATTTTTATTTTTTTTTGGTAATTTTAATAAAAATTCTTTTTAAATTCAATATTTTAATTTTGTTTAAAATATTTTTATTATTAATTTATTTTTCAAAAAATAGTGTTGAATTTTATATAAAAGTTTTTTTTTTAAATAAATCTGTTACTTGAAGTTGAATAATTTGTTCTTTGTTGAGTGTGTTCAAATTCAAATAAATATTTATTACTATAAAAATATATATAAGTCTAACGGTCATCCAAAGCATAAATTTTTTTTCAAAAAAATAATATAAAAAAAATTGTTAATTAATTTTATTTTTTTATTTTATTTTTTTTTAATTTTTTTAAAATTGATGAATGAAATCTTTTTTACAAAAAATATAAAAGATTAAATTTTATTCAACACATATATTACATAATTTTTTTGGTTTATAAATAATCTATATAAAGTAATAATTTTTTTTTGTGTGTGTGTGTTTTTTTTTTTTTTTTAAATAATAAAATATTTTTTTTGTATATATAAATATAAATTAAAAAAAAAAAATAAAATTAACGGTTTTTAAAATTTTAATTAATTTTATAATATCACACATAGGAAAAATAATAGTTTTATTCACCTATATAAATAAAAAAAAGTAGCACTAGCAACTATTCAAATAATTAATTAATAATGTCGATTTTATCTTGGTTATTTAAGAGTAATGATAAAAAACCAAATCAACAGCAACAGCAACAAAATGATACATCTTCCTCGCTATCCAATAATCAAATAATATTCGAAACAGATGATATCGTAATTAAAACACCATTAAATATCGATAATGATGAATCATATATCGATGATTACAATTACTTTGATGCACCAAACTTTAATTCATATAGAACACCCCTATCACTAAAAACAATCACTACCACCTCAGCAACAACAACAACAGTAATAAATAACAATAATAATGGCTTTATAACAGATAATAATAAACTTACAAATCATCTCAATAAAAGTTTTAGCGATAATTTACCAAATGAAATTGTTATTTCTTTTGATACAACTGGTAAAATGTTTAGTTTCTTTCAAGAGTTTAAGATACAATTGGATAGAATTTTATCAAGTTTATTTAATAGCTTTCCATTATTAAAGATATCAATTATGGCACATGGAGATTATTGTGATGATATTAGACATACTTCATATTTTAATAGATCCATTTCGATACTACCATTTACAAATAACATCAAAGAAATCAAATTATTTGTAGACTCAATAGAAAAAACAAACGGTGGCGATGCTCCAGAATGCTATGAATATGCCATGAGAAAAGCCAGAGAATTACCTTGGAGTGTTCATTCAAAAAAAACTTTAATAATGATTGGGGATGATGTACCACATCCACCAAGCTTTACCGATCAACATTTTTACTGGAGAAATGAATTACATTATTTAACAAAGTAAGTACTACTTTAAACAAACAAGGCAAATTTAATAAAACCCATCCTAATATTCATTATTTTTTTATTTAGAATTGGTACTAAGGTTTATGGTATTCAATGTAATAACAATAGACATGCCAAGTTATTTTATGAAGAATTAGCAACATTATCAAATGGAAGATATGTTCATTTAAAGAGTCCAAAAGATATAGGTGATTTAATTTTAACAATTTCATATAGAGATTTTAGTAATATTAAATACAGTTATTTTAGTGATGAAATATTACAAAAAATTATATTTAATAATAACAATAACAACAATAACAATGAATATTTTGAAAATAAGAAAAAAGAATTACAAAATAAATTTTATCAATTATTTCAAGCAGCATTTACACGTGAAAGAGATTCATCGATTAATATCAGATTTCCATGGTGGGACATTGCATTTGATGTTTCACCAAACCCAAGATTCATTTGGAATGATGAATCAAAACTCTTTATCGAAAATATTATTTCAGTTCAAAATGAAAAATCTCAAATTATTCCATTTGCATCACAATTAGCAATCGAGACCACTACAACCCCAGTGTCAAGTAAGGTTCAAAGATGTTCTCCCTCTTCGATATATAAAAGTCCAAGTATCAATAGTCTCCACTCGATTCAATCTGATCTAAATTTACTTCATCAAGAAAATAATATGATTAAAACTGTTTCAAAACCCACCAACTCTTATAGTTCACTATTTTATCAAAACAATACTTCATTTTATAACTTACCATTTATAAATAATGATAGTGATATCAATTATAATATTTTTAATAATGGCAATAATAACAATAATAGCTTTAATTTTTCAATTGCTGGTATGTCAATAATACCTGATAAATTAAATAATACATTTTTACAACAAAACAATCATATTAATGGTAATCATGAAAATGATCATCAACATCAACATCAACATGAAAAAGAAAAAGAAAATAAACCCGAAATCCATGAATCTGAAATTGATTCGGATCAACTCGAACAAGAACAGGAACAAGGACAAAAAGAAAAGGAAATAATAGAATCATTAGATGAAAAAGAAGGAGTGTTTAAAAACGATGTTTCAAATAGTATCAATGGTGATGAAATTGGATTATTATCATCAACAAAAAAAAGAAAACTGGATACTTTTATTAATCAAAATAATAATCATGTAAATAGTCATAACGATAACAACAACAACAACAACAACAACAGTAATAATAATAATAATAATAATAATAATAATAATAATAATAATAATAATAATAATAATAATAATAATAGTAGTAACAACACCAGTGATAATGATGATAATTATGAAACCATTAATTCAAATTTATTTTCAGAGTTTATAAAACAATCATCAACAGCCCCATCCTCCCCATCACATCAACCCGCTTTAAAAAAACTTTACACTGAATCAATTAATAATAATTCAACAGCTTTATTAACCTAATAATCAAAACAAATCAAAAACCTATTTATTTAAAAAAAAAAAAAAATAATTGTTATTTAAATTCTTTTAAATTCTTTTAAATTCAAAATAAAAAATTATTTATTTATTAAAAATATAAAACTATAACTACGTCTACAAATAGAAAATTTTTTTATTTAATTTTTTATTTTTTATTATTTTTTCAAATTTTGCTTTTTTTATATTTTTATTTTTTTTTTTTTTTTATTTTTTTTTATATTTTTTTTTTTTGTTTTTTTTTAATATTTGATTTTTAATTTTTACAAAAATCATTGCTTGTTTTTCTTTATATTTATTTATATCTATTCCATAAATCAAGATTATTCTAAATTTATTTATATAATATTTAGTTCTTTTCTTACATAAATTTTTTATATATAGTTTTCTGCGTTCAAATAAAGAGATGGAAAGAATTCAAAATATAATTACAATGTCTGCTGCGATGACAGTAGTACATTTTTCATTAGGTATTTTATTATTCATATCAAGCATTATTTTATATACACATTCTGTAGCACACTATAATAATTTTCTTTTAAGGTAGTATTATATATGTCCATATGGTATAAAAAGAGATACCAAAATATATTCTAATATACTAAATTATAATTTTTTTTTTTTTTTAATTAATGTAGCATCATTAGTCTATGGATATTTTTCACAGGAGCATATGGATGGAAATATTACACACAATATTATTTTATGTACACCTATTTCGGCAGAGGTGTTTTTTATTTTTTGTAGGTATTAAACTAAAATCAACTTGTAAATAAATAATTTTAGTATTAATAATATTATACATATATTTAGTGTTGGAATTTTAGTTTGGGGAAGTAGCAATATCGAATTTTATTCAATGGTAATCGCCTTATTATTTTTATTATTTGGTTTAGGTTCAATGGGGCTTGGTTTATTCTCAAAATATGACCCACCAAGACCAGTATTTGGTCCATACGATTTTGTACCACACGGACAAAAAGAAAACATGGCTTTGGCATCACAGGCCGACTTTATGGACGATTCTCCAACCTCATCACAAAACACAACTTTTACAATTTAAATACACAGAGTATCTTTTTTTTTTTTTTTTTTATAAAAGAAAAAAACAAATTAGAATATTAATAAAATAATAATATAAATAAATAAAAACCCAATATTGTTATAACAATACTCACCAAGTATC